TCAAATACTCCTTGTCGGGTCATCTTCAATTAAATTAGGTGCGTCCTCCAAATTATAATATCCCTGCGGCCTTCCACACTCAACTAAATGCCTAAATGTATTAAAAAACAGATACTCGACGATTAGGAAACCTTCTGGGATATTCTTGTACCGCCGCCCCAGCTCTGTCGTTGCAAAAGCCATATACAAAATGAGTATCAGCTAATTCTCCATTTGAAAATAATTACATTAGATTTAAATAGCTTATTTTTCATCAACAATCAACCTTCTTTAAACTGTAAAGTTTATAATTTTTATTGGAATAATTAACTTTACAGTAGATAGTTTGATTTGTCTTTGGCGAATCAAAGGATTTAAAAGAACAATCCAAGCAAAAACTATTTTTTACCAACAATGAAAACTGAAAGCTGTCGAATAATTGACAATTAATTTTTATTTTATTTTTCTTTGTTTCAGATGAAAGATAAAGCTTCTGGAGCAGTAAAAGTTAAATGACTCCTTTGTATTTCCATTTATTACCTCCTTAATTTATTAATCAAAAATCACATTTCTCCAAGAGATGGAAGCTAAAGTTAATAATCCAAAGTTTAGTCACTTAAAAAAAACAAAAATAACATTAACGGCCCAACAAAAGAGAGACGGGTATTAGAAGTACGCAGAAAAGAAACGGGAGTTGCCAAGAAAAGGAAGAGTAGAGAAAAATGTTTGTGAACCACCATGATGTCATAAGTTTTTCAATGAATCTTTTTTTTGTGTTTAGGAATAGTTAACAAATGTCAACCGATGTTGATGTTAGCAACATCCGTGCAATACTTTAGTTTTTCATGAAAATAGTATAGAGATTGTGATAAATTTAGCTTATAAATGAGACATACAAAATGGCAAGGTTCACTAGTATGGGCAGTTTTCACTGAGTATTTCTCGTTTCTTTCTATTCTCCCTATTTCAAATTCTTATACCCTATTTTGAAAATTTAGTTGCTTTTAACAGCATCTTTTTTCGGAAGGAAACTCTGCGTTAGGGTCAATCATTCCTTCTGCACATTGTTATATTTTGATTAGTATTCGTTAGTTTTGGTTCAGAACGCTATATAAAAGTTTCAAGAGAAATCAGGAAAATGTACACAAATTCCACAAGCCTGTTTTCAGTGTCTAAAAAATTATTTGTAATTATTTTTAGTGAATAAGCACAGAATTAGAATTAAAGATTCGGCCTAATTCAATTTTTAATATACAAAATTCGTATTTTTTTGGTTGGAAATCAGCCATGTCAAGAATGTACAGATTACTCCATCTTCTTGTACATTATTAATGAGTTTATTTGTAAGTGGAAAAATTAACTTGATATTACACACAAAACATTAATTTCAAGTTGCATTTATTCAAATTGAAATTAATACGGACACGTTCCACCACTTTCCGTTAAAAGGTAGAGAAAAACCTATTCTACGAGAAAGAATTTATATCAACTTTAAAACAGTGCTCATTTTAGGTAATTTCTGGAAAAACGGCATTTAAAATTGAAGAATACGATTAAGCCCGCCGGCGGTCATTCTAGAAACATAAAAATAATTTCTAACATTTTTTTCTTGGCTTCTTTAGTAGTAAATTTTTACACCCCAAGCCTTTACGATAATTACTTTTTGATATAGGGCCACCGGGCACTTCTAATCGCAATTTCGAAAGGTACAATTTGAAAAAACCACGACACTATTCAAAATTCAAAAATAGCCAGATGAGTTACCAGAACACATATTCGAATAATCTTGACTTTCTATCATTTGCATACGTTCGGGCCCCCTTCACTTTCATGAATTCTTACAGTCGCCCAGTCGAGTCGTGGACAAGCTCATGCGTCCGACGAACATCATCTCCGCCACTTCGACACCTCGAGGGTGCGGAGTGACATTCTACCTACCGGTCACGTGCGCAGTCATCTTTGGTTGTTGCAGTAATCTGCGGCAGGAGTGTGGCAACATTGATCTTTTGAACGGCGTTGAAATTTTGTAAGAATGCGCCGGGAATGCATGATGAATTGTGAACGAATGTACACTGTACGGGGGCCATCAGCGAAGTACGAAGAGACACTTGTTTTGACTTGCCTTGTGTTTTTGGGGATAACGGGAATAAGATGGGGATGTCTATGGGACAGTTTCTAAAGCTTGATCAAGAAGTATACGACTTACATTCAATACTTACACTATTCTGATGCCTCTGGGTATTTCACGTAACATTCAAAAGCTGCTAAGGTTCTGGGAAATCTTTATTCTTTTCTCTGTATCTACCCTACTGCTTGTGAGATTCGTGCTTGTAGTAGATCATTTGAGGATATCTGCTTAACATAGAGTGCTCCAGAATTGTACAGGCAGAACTAAATTATGAAATATAAGCTATAAAGATAAAATTCTAATTTTTGAATATCATTATGGGTCACAAATTCAAAATTTAGAACTTTATTTTTATTTCATAATTTAGTTCTGCTTCTACAATTCACTTGTTAACTGTTCATAAAAACAAAAAAAAAGATTTTTTGAAAAACTTATGACATCATGGTGGTCATTTATGCACTGATACTCTTGACAAAACATGTTTTTCTGCTGTTCATTTTCTTGGCATTTCTCGTCACCTTCTTTTATTTTACTTTTAAATATCAATATTAAAAAAAAATACTTTCAAATATCAATATTTCAAAAAAATATTGATATTTAAAAGTAAACATGGGTCACAAATTAAAATTTTCCCCATTCAAAATGTTAAAAAGCTAAAAAAAAAATCATTTAATGGTCGAATAATATACATGTTAATTTTACAACAAATAACTAGGTGATTTCTCAAATTCTGTTTAATTGTTAAGAACAAATCTTAAGGGTTATCGTATTGCTCTACCCATTTCACTTTCTATGTTTTCACGTAATATTAAGAAGCTGTTCAGGTTTTGAAAATATTTCTTGTATTTTCATAATTTTTCGTATTTTTCCTTAAAAAATCTACCATAGCTATTTCTAAGATGGTATCTTTAGTAGATTATTGGAGGTATCTGCTTAACTTACTAGAGTCGTATTAACTGTAAAAACAAAAAAATCCGGATTTTGAATTCGAGAAAAGTAAATACTTTTAAATGTCGATATATTTAAATATAAAAAATGGAATTTGATTAACAAATAATAAACACATCCTTATTTAACAACAAGTACCAGTGGTTGTCCTTAAACTGTTAGTTCCGCAGAACAGATCACAAGGATCATCGTATAAGTTTAAGCATTTTACTCTTTTTTATGCTTTTATGCATTTAATTAACATTCTTGGGGCGCTCTTGAATGCTTTAGGAAACCTTTATCAAAAATTAGGGTACCCATCTTTAAAATGTAATCTGTAATAGAAGATTTGAGGTGTCTACTTAACGTAGAGTGCTCTAGAGTTGTAGAAACAGAACTAAATTATCAAATATACGTAGGTTATAAAAAAAACATCTGAATTTTTGAGTTGAGAAAATTTGAACTTGGGACCCTTGTTTACTTTTAAATGTTGATGTTTTCAAATAATATATATACACGCTCCAAGAGCGGTTTCTACAGTTACGATAGCAGATATCAAATTTTATTAAAATACAAATTATTTTTAATATAGGTTAATTGATTGATAATTATTGCTCTTATTTTTTATCAACATAAAACTCACTAAGCGTAAAATAAAAAAAAACTTTTTCTTTCTTTTATGTCACCTAGTAAAACTGGCAAAACATGTTTTAAATTGTCACAATCAAATGCTCTAAATTGATGTTGTTCAGAAGCATTGGAAGTGTTTTTTAATTCAAAAAGTGAAAAATTGAAAGGCGGTTAAATTTTTACAAGAATCGCGCGTCCACCATTCAGTCAGCAAATATGCCGGCAAATTTCTTGCGACGCGGTTATCAATATACACATTAATGTCGGTGTAATGTGGTAGTTTTAAATTAACTGCTGTTGCCATAAAATTGCTGCGTTTTCACTTTTGAGTAATAATAGTACTTCTGATTGCAATTTTCACCAGTTAAAAACGAATAACATTATCACTGATTTGCATACTTTTATAAAGCTAAGAAGCGCCTATTTGTTTAAAAAAAAAAGAAGTTTTATCGTTTTCTATGAGTGACGACATATTCAAAAGCACCTGATGCGATAATTTAATAATAAATTATTCATTAAATAAAAAACCATTTTTATGCATAAATTCGCTTGAAAAAAAATTATCTCGAAGATTCTGAAGGCGTTATCAGCAACTACATATTGTGTTATTATAGAACACAAGTTTCAAGGCCGTATTAAGTAGCTAAACTGTCTTTTCCTTTTTCCTTTGCATTTTGGTACTAGCAGAATTACTTATTATGGAAATATTATCCTTAAACAATAAAACAATTCAGATGTATTCAATTAGAGAAAGAATTATAAAAATAGTACTATTAACTTGTGTAGAACGACCATATTTCAGAGATCGTTTAGTTACAATGCAGTAAAACATTTCAACTTTATTTTCAATAGCATTACATAGCAAGGTTCGCTTTAGATCTGCTTGATAAAACTACATACCTGTATGTTCTATCTCCTGTATTTATGACTAGTAAGATCGTGTTTACATCTTTAGCCTAACATTTCTTATCTTTCTGCCTCACTGCTTATTTTCTCAAGAACTATGTTATGGGGATTTTTTTTTGAAAAAAATTGTTATCGTTTTTTTTTGTAATACTATCTGGCTAGTAACTATACTAAGTGATTAGTTATGCGTAGCTGCAAGCTAGACCTCGCCACTGTAATTACACTTTTTTATGCATTGGCTGCAAAAAGAAAAATAATTATTATTACTATTATTATTAGTATTATTACTATTATTATTAGTATTATTACTTTTGTAACAAAATTACAGAAATTTGTACTTCAACTGAAAATTAGAATTAACTAAATAGTTACATCTAAGTTCACTAAAATAATTAAATAGGTACTGGGAAAATTAAATAAACATCGCAACTCACATTCCAAAAATTTTTATTATCATCAGTGGAAATAACTTTTGCAAAAAGATCTGCTTGAATATTAAAAGATGAGGGCCCACTCGTTAAAGAGTTCAAAGATTGTCAGACCACAGTCCGAATCAAAGCACTTTATTATTTGCACGCTTCAAAAAAATTCCGGAATATAAAGAGTAACCACCATCACATTTTGTTCTACACATATTTACAAAAATTGGAACCGAGGTACTGCTATGCTTCGTTTGAAAGGTTTATATAAATCGTAAACATTGATAGTACAGAAAAATTCAAAATCTTGTTACATTGGGTTTAGCGAATAGTACTTTACTTAATGTTACTGATTAATTAATTTAATTTAATTATTTTAATTAATTTTAATTATTTATTTTAATTAAATTATATCAATCTTTTATATTACATGTATTTTTTTTAAATTAAATATAACGACTACATATAAAACGATATCGTTATAGTTGTTATAGTTGTTCTAACATTTTTTAATGTCAACAAAAAATAAATACAAAACAGATTCTCGGAGGCTTATTTTTCATTGGTTAGTTTATCTTCTCTGAAGAAATTCGCTCCCTTGTAGGACGATAAATTATGTGAAAAATATCAAATTATTACAAACAGACTTGTTTACGCAATATTGGGAGACAGCAAAAATTTCTAGATGTAAATAAATTACTTGTTTTGGTTTTTTTGTTGTGACAGTCGCATCCTTAAACGAAGCAGGGCAGCAATTTCATCCCTAATAAAGCTAGCGGTCTAGTTTTTTTTTGGTAGCATCCAGTGGCACAGTCAAATTTCTTATTAAACTCACAAATTTTGATATATAACTAAACTTTTTTGTCTCTATATGCCTTTTAATAATTCAATTAGGCTTTTTAAAAAGCTAGGGAAGGCTGTCTCGAAATGCAAAATTTTCCAAATCCTTCGTTTCATTTCATAAAAAAACAGCTTTGGCTCAGGAAAGCCGCAACAAGCTGACTTTATTAATAAGTAAGGTGCGCCGTAAAATCAAATCAAAAATGGGACACAGCGTACAACCGTTAGAACAAATAATATGGCTTTGAAAATAAAAGTTAATGATTATCATATCAGTCCGTTCGTCACTAATATCTTCACTAAGACCGCCTTCAATTTTTTTAAACGTAGTAACCTATCTATACAGGGCCTAACTTCTCGCCGAAAATCTTCTTCCTGTTCTGGCGGGTGCCGCCGTTGAACTCGGTTCTTCGACTTCGCTTTTCGCACTCTTACCTTTGTTAAATCTATTCCTACGCCCCGAAGACGAAGCAGCAGGTTTCGATTCTTTTTGGACTGGTTCTGAAGCTGCCTCTTCCCTTTCTACCGTCGCTGCTGGTTTCACCTGCTTGTCTACAACAATTTGCTAGATTGTATTGCAGATATCGAAGAAAATAACAAAAAACAAGATTGTTTAGAGGAGAATAAGCGCAAGACTTGAATGTGCGGATGAAAAAGAAGAACAGTAGAATTGTTTTTATCATATGACCAACTTAATGATTTTATTAAAATAAATAGGAATTGTTGTTAATTAATTAATTGTTCATCATTTATATATTGTCATTAATTAATTAACCTTCATGATCAACTCTGTCAAATATAATATTATCAAGCCAATTTAAAATAGAATGCTTATTATTGAGCTGCTGCTGAATTTTAGTGCACGATCGTGAACGACTAGATCTCAAATTTGAAATAAATTTAAAAAAATTCAAGGATAGAGGCAATAATTTAAGATCTTACTGTGGACTACTTGCTCCCTCCTCTTCTTTAAGGTCGCTAATAAATCGTCGTTGCTCCTAAAGGGTCTGACAACCCCGTTTTTGATAAGCTTTTTGTTTACCTCTGTTGTCGAACTAGTTTCAACCGGCTGAGCTTCATCTTCGTATTCTTCCTCGACAGGTTCTTCCTCTTCCTAGAATCACATTAAATCAGCGTGCAGAATCATCTTGGTTTTACCATTTCTCTTATTCACTAGAAAAGTATTCATAATTTGTTAGTCAAGAAATTTTATTTTTAATTTTCAATCCATTTTATTGTCACTGAATTTATTGAATAGCCTCTTTGTTTTATAACGGACTTGTCTTTATCAGAAATTACGAGTTTTTGGTTTTGGTTGGTTTTCTAAAAATGTGAAGCATGCAATAAAATGTTTTTAATTTCCTGTTGGCATCTAATGGATATTATTTTATAAGGTTGTTCGGAAAGTCATTTCGTTTTTTCCCGTCAGAGGGCTTAATTACGTTTTTTCGAGACCAACTTCACACTTAAGCCGCATAACCATTATATGTCTTGAGAGCTGATATTGCAAGGCTCGTGTGTGAAAAAATTCTATTAATTCTACGCAGTAGTTTTTGGTTGGTGCCCTTTTAAATATGGAGAGCAATAAGCAGCATTTTCGTCATATATCAGAAAAGGTAAAAATGCTGTCCAAGCGAGAAAAAAATTGACGGATGTGTATGGAGAAGGCGTGTTAACAGTACGCCAGTGCCAGAACTGGTTTGCAAAATTTCGATCCGGCAATTTTGATGTCGAAGATGCACCACGGTCTGGAAGGCCGGTCGAAGCTGACAAAGATGCGATAAAGGCATTAGTTGATGCAAATCGGCGAATAACCACACGAGAGATCGGTGAGAGATTAAATTTGTCGAATTCGACTGTTTATGGCCATTTGAAAGGCATGGGCTTAACCTCGAAGCTCGATGTGTGGGTGCCCCATGTCCTTACGGAGCGAAATTTGTGTAGTCGCGTTGACGTGTGTGATTCGCTCCTCAAACGTCAAGAAAATGATCCATTTTTGATGCGGATTATTACTGGGGACGAAAAATGGGTTGTATACAACAATGTTAAACGCAAGAGGTCATGGAGCAGAAAAGATGAACCGGCTCAAAGCGTGTCAAAAGCCAACATTCACCAAAAAAAGGTGATGCTCTCCGTTTGGTGGGATGTCAAAGGAATCGTTTTTTTTGAGCTTTTGCCGGACAATACAACGATTAATTCAGAAGTCTATTGTCATCAACTGGACAAATTGAATGATTCACTTAAAGAGAAGAGGCCCGAATTAATCAACAGGAAGGGTGTAATGTTCCACCAGGATAATGCGAGACCTCACACAAGTTTGGTCACTCGCCAAAAACTTTTACAGCTTGAATGGGACGTACCGCAACATCCACCATATTCTCCAGATCTCGCGCCTTCCGACTACTATTTGTTCCGGTCCCTGCAAAATTTTTTGGATGGCAAAACCTTTATCTCAGATGAAGATGTCAAAAACCACCTGAACCAGTTTTTTGCCAGCAAGGACCAAAACTTTTATGAGAGGGGAATTATGTTACTGCCAGAAAGATGGCAAAAGGTGTTGGACCAGAACGGCCAATATATAATTTAATAAAATATTTATTCATTATACGAAAACTGTCTTTCATGTTCCCCAAAAAAACCAAAATGACTTTCCGAACAACCCAATAATACAACTTCAACAAAAATACAAACGATTTGCAAAATTATAATTAAACGCTCAAAAACTACATTTGTAATTCGTAATTGATGTTTAATCACTTAACCACTTAATAAATCTTTTTGCGGACAAAATATTGTTAAGAAAAGAAAATCGAAAAATCGTATTAGGATGCAATTAATTTTTCATTACAAATGCAATAACTGAAAAATAAGACATTTCCGGCAACGGTTGACGATTTTGTTTGATACTCATGGAGAAACCTTTTTTTTTTATTTACAGTCCGGCAAACACAGTGCCTTTAGGAACGCGAGGTTCCATTAATTTCTAAAAAGTGTTTTTCCATAATTGCATTTCCATAGTAAACTTTTTTTGGACGACTTTTCATAATACCATAGACCGTCAAATTAGACGAACGTTACAGGAAATGTCTTATTTTTAATCAGTCATTACATTTGCAATGAGAAATTAATTGTTTTCCCATACGATTTGTCGTTTTTCTTTTTCCAAAAACGGAGCCTATAAGCTATAAGCGAAGTTACGAATTTTCGTTGTAAATATAATTTTCCAAGCCGTTTGTATTTTTCCTTGTTGAAATTGTATTTAAACCAAAAGTTTTTGTTGCTGCAAAACTCTGGTAATAAAAAACTCCAAAAACTAGTAATTTCTGATAAATCCAACTTCGATATAAAACCATGAGTGAGAGCCATGGTTAAATGCTGGTTAAATTATAAGAGTGTAAGTATTCATAAAAAGGCGCGACTCACTGTTCTCGTTGACTTCTTTTTAAGGACATTTTATAGTTATGAATAATAAAAGGACATACTTTGGGTGCGGCGGTCGTAGTAGTGGTGGAAGTGGCTTTGTTGTTCTTCCCAGCTAAGGGATTTCGTCTTCCCGTCAATGGGCCTCTCGCGGGCACCTTCTTCGGTGGTGGAGGTGGGGCTTCTTCGGCGTAGTCGTAGTCGGCTTCCGCGGGCCTTGCGGAACACACCGATATAAGCACCACCAAGCCCAATATTAATCTGAAATAGCAATTATGTATATGCAATAGAGTGCAAAAGTCTTCAAATTTTTTTATGGCAAGCGATTTAAATTTCAGAGACAGAAACAATGAACAAGTTACAAGCATCTACAGTCACACTTAAAAACCAAAAATTAAATTTTTGAAACATTTTGTTTATACATTTGGGACAATATTGAATTATAATAAGTGTTTATTGTGAGTGATACGTAAAAGTTTATGATTATTGGAAGTCAAAAGTTGTCTAGTATCAACTTATTGTGAAACGCCCAACATAAAAAATAGTACCGGGTGTAGTAGTGGCCATTATAAATAAGTAAATGGATAACTTTGTTAATATTGATCCCACGATGAAGTTTAAACGACCAAAGTTGGGGTATTTTTCCCAAACCTTCCGATTATGCAATCAAAAATATAAAATAAAAATCTTGTCTGTCAAATTTTGACAGGTCGACTTTGTCTTTAAATTGAATACATTTTTTCTTCAGATTTCGAATATATATCTCTATTTTTGACAGATTTTGAATTAGCGCGTATTTTATCTAATATTCGATGTCAATAAGTTGCTTTTTTTAACTATATCCAAAGAGTTTATTTCTTGGATGATTTTCTACTATGTAATTGGTAATTATTATTAACAACATATTACTTACCTACTGCTTATAACACCTAATCATAATTAAATATTATGAAAAAACCTTTTACTGACTTACTTTTCGTATTCTGTTTTGTATTTAGAGAATTGTTGCCGGCCTTCTGGACTGTTACACTATGTTTGGAATCACAGGAAGAGATAACTTTTCGATATATTTGAAGGAAATCGAAATATTGATCCCCTGTCATACTTCCATTAAAAAAACACGGTCCTAGAAGTCCAGAAGAAATAATCCCTCGCCAAACTCATATACATTGGCGACCACATTTTTTAATTTTTCTTAGGATTTTTGCTTGACCAGAAATGTGTGTTTTATAAATTAGGCGGCCAGGCCGTATTACATAAGAACTCAACTGTAAACAGTATGTTGTGAATAAAATTAGTTGATCCTTGAATTCGTTCTAACATAATGCGGCAAAACTCCGTTTATCTTCATCTGTAAGATCTTCAACTTTTGTCAACTTTGTGTCTTTAAAATCCGCCAAATTTTACTTTTACTTAAATTCATTTCAAACATTTTGAAACTTAGTTTATGAAATTCAAATTAATTTATTTTGATTTTAACACTAATGATTGAAATTCATTCCTTGAAAATATAACAAGACATCAGGTTCTTTATTAATATTACAAGGAATTTATTTTTCTTTTGACTGAGCCGCTATTTTTAAACCTACCATAAGTGTTACAAAATGTTTTTTTTTACTCGGAATCAATCCGTGAGGATATAATCTTCTAAACTCAATGCAAGCAGTTGCCTGATTTTTCCGCTAGTGTAAATACCATTTTAATATAAAATGATAGTTAACTACGCCAGTTTCCATGACAACAGCTGTCATGGCTTATTTAATTTTTAAAACAATAGTTATTGACTTTCTTACATTCATATGTGCGATATTTCAATGCAAAATGCAAAAACAGGGCACTAATTTTTTTAAAAATATCGGCCTGTGAAAATTTTCATTGCAGAATCGACCAAATATTCAACGCATGAGTAGATATCAAGTCGTTAACCAGTACGTCAGATGTGAAGTCGCTAGAAGAACAGCAAATAGGTTACAAAAAACATAGCGAGATACTGCTATCACATTGAATACTGTTTTACTAATGTGTCCATTGTCTAGGAAATTAAAGGACACGGTTATCTAAAATAGTACGAGTTCGAATTATTAGATATTTCGACGATCTACAGAGAAGAGCTGAGGATAATTTGCAACGATTTAATCCAGTAAATAAATAGTTTTTTGTGTACTTTTTATGTGCTGATTAAAAGAAATAAATAAAGCAAAGCGAAAGAAATTATTTCAATTTATAAAGTAGAGGATCAAGTAATAATTGAAATTGTCTAATTTTATAGTGTTTAGTTTCATAATATTTATTTAAGTGCGAAATTTAAATTCGACTTATTTGATCGTGGCCACAGTTGGTCATGATTTTACATTTTGACATTTCGTTCTGTTTTTGTATCTTATAATCGCCTCTAAGTGTATATCAAAATCAATCGAATAATATCTTAGATAAAAGTGAAAATGAACCTTTAATCAAGGTGTTAGGCATGAAAGTCAGTCACTTTGAATATGGACGAGACGTTTGTGAATTTTATCGTTAATATTCGGTGACTTGGAACTACCAGATCCACTTTAGATTAATGTAGGTAGTTAGGTGTGCAATTTACGCGAAAAATGTGGATGCTTTAATCGGCCACTAATGCGAACTTCGATGGATTTAAATCATAGCGGTTATAAGTAAATTAAGTGTCAAATATTTCGAAAGAAAGTCGCTCAAGGTAAACTGGTGTACGTATTAATTAAAAATAATTCTTCGCCGGCTTGTGCGGCTGGAAAATTCGCATTTTATATACACTCTCGAATGATTGTACTGGTGTTCCGTGAGGCAATGAAAATATTTTTTCAGTTACGTTTTCCGCAAGTTTTACTTTTTCGATGGTTATCTACTACTACCTACATATTTTGCAATGATTTTCTTGTTTCAAAGCATTATGAACATGAAATTTATACATGCAACGTTATAATAAAAAAATCTTCTCCTATTTACCAAAGTTTAGTTGTCCATCGTCTATTATATTAACCATAGCCTAAATATAGTTATGCATTTTAGCATACATACATGCATATATGCAAAACACACTTTAAAAAATGTTTTAATTTGCTGTTAAATATTATTTTTCCGAATTTCCTCCGAAAGTTTTCATATATTTTGAAAAATTCTTTATATCTATTTATTCAATGTGTTTATAAAACGTATACGAAACAAATTCAAGATAGAATATATCGTCAATAATATTTTTGAAAAGGCGAACATTACACAGAGTCTCTAGAAGCTGATTTCTACTCAATGTTTTAATATTTCATTGTCAATTCGTTAACGACTATCAAAAGGATAAAGTTTTGCATTAAAGCAAAAACGTATTTTGAAATGTTGGATTTTCTACTTTTGCCATATAGTGATAGCAGAAAATCGAACATAATTTTAAGAAATAAAACATAGTTTTCAATACCTAATTGTATTGCTAATAAATGCACATGTTATCCGAGACTTCAAGTAGAAATCAATAGAAACAATTAATTGTTGTTGCGTGTTTATCCAAATTTCAAGGCCGTATTTTCATTTATCAATTAAAAAAAAATTCATGGAACGCTTTATCTTTTCATTTAAAATTATACACTTACAAAACTTTTTTCATCAATAGACAAAAATGTGTTGCAAGACATCACTAAAAAGTTTACATGGGATTATCAGACAAAAAGCAATATTTGAGGCAATGACATTGGGAATTCTGAAAACCCAAAGATATTCGCTTCAATTACCGTGGAAGGTTGTTCGGTTTCAAGGCGTTCTAGGGTGTACGCTTATTTCTAAAGAATTTGCAAAATGTTATTCAATAAATGCTTCCGGGAATTAGTACGATTACGAATGTTGTTATATTGGGAGCAGCTGTAGTTGGGATATGCGAGTAAATTCCTATTTCCTTAAAAAGTTTCACTTTTGTAACTAAAATAAATTATTCAAATTAAAAATGACATTTTATACAGGATGTCCCATAATACTGACTGGCTATATATTTTTTAATTGTACCTTAAATCCTCAGAAACGATTTTAGAAAAAATGTTTTCTTTTGATTCACTTATTAAATGAAAGGAATTTGAATCAGGGATTTAACGTCAAGCGAAACATTTATAGCTTATCACAAAAAATTTGAAACAAATCATAAAAATAATGCAAATGGAAAGTCAATTATTTTTGGTGACAATGATCAGATCAGAACACTTTTCGATCTCGTGTTTACATCTTGGTCATTCAAAATTATATACATACTAATTAAGTGGTCTAGACTAGCGTGTGAAGTTGGACCAAACATTGGACTAATAATAGTTGTTTGAGTATTTATGTTCACTTCAACTAATTTATAGATATATGTATATACAAATGAGAGCAAAAATTTTTATTAAATAGAGAATTCCTCTTTCCTTTTTAATGTATTTTTCTCTCAGAAAACATAGTTTCCTTTGGTAAGAAAAACCCAAAATTCCTGGCAAACGACAATGAAAACTATATTTTAGCGAAAATATTATTGTAATTCCCTAGATGATGAAGTCAAACACTGGTTGTCAAGGATTAAAATGAAATCTTTGTAAATGTGATCGCGTTTCTCTCAAACAATTACTGTTTCTTCTCCCATCAAAGAAAGTACTTACTATTAATTTCAAATATTTTTATAACATTAAGTGTGGTGAATTCTAAATGTACAAAATATTGTTACAAAGTAAATTAATTGTCTATATCAAGAGCAAGAACAAAGTCACTCACTATATTTCGAACCAGACGTTTCATTTGTGTTTGTTCGATACTAGTCAATATTCCTTTTGATTCCATAAATGTTCTACTGAGTTAAGACCTGGACTCCGTGGAGGTCAGTCCTAGGTCTTTTTGAAATAAGAACTTATAAGTTGACATTAAATTGCGTATTTGATTTAACAGTAGAGGTAATAACGTGAATAAAAACACCTAACAGTGCAGACAGGAATTCCCACAAACAAACTTTGAGTATAAAACTGACAATCTTTAAACAAGTTGTATATGCTACAATTAAAATATACATATGTGTATAACCAAATCGAATCAGCAGTTCGCAAGAAAATTAGCTTTAAATTGATGCGTTCATTTATATATATATATATATATATATATATATATATATATATATTAGTATTATTCTTCTCTTCTGTCTTCTGTACTTATATTTTTAATAGCCACATGTAGAGAACGAATTTTCTTATTTGGATAAATTGTGGGACACTCTGTATATCGAATTACGGTACGTTCTTCATCTTGGAAAATATTATATTAGCGTTATAGACTTACTAGCGTCAAAAAGAAAACGATTAGAGTTGATGATGTATTTTTATAAGATGTTGTTAATCCAATACTCATCCTGTTTTAAATATTGATTGCTTCATACGAAATTTTAATTTTTATGTTTACTTCCCAAATGTTCTAATTTTTTCAAATGACTGGTCTTAATACGCAAAACGCACCAAAAAAATTATAGGCGGATCTATTAGCGCCCTCTACCTATATACTAAATATTGCAAAATCTCCGAGAAACGTTGTGGTGTAACCTTATTATAGTTTAAGACGACAAAAATCTCAGCAATCGCTGAAGATGGCTGCCGCTCACTCGTACAGAAGAAAATAATAATAATAACCTAAATGCATAGTAGTTACGTTATTTGCTTTTTAGTTGCCTTGAAGTGTGAAATTCCCGTTATATTATAGATACCGCGGTACTTCAAATCGCTCAACTGTTTTCAGGTAGCTAGAACTACAATATACATGTAATTAAAAAAGCAGCGTAGTTTTTTTCAACAAAACTCACTTACTCCAAACGGCATCTAGTTTTAAGAAAATTTCTAGTTATTAAAATAACAGAAAGAATATAGAAAGGACGAAGAAATGCAACAAGTCACACACATATTTCCACGGTGATTTCTCGAGCATTTGAACGTTAAAAGTCTAAAATAATTCGTTTAAAAGATATAGAGTGCACAAATTTATTGCGAGTTTGATTTGGTTTTTCGCCCCATTTTTATGTAGTGTTCTTCTGTTTAATAATGGTTGCTTGAAAATATTTGTTAGTCTAGAAAATTATTTCGTTTTTCTGAGAACATCGTTTACTTTAAACCAAAGTATTTCTAAAATGGTTGCTCCTAGAGGCTCTTTTTCACGTAAAAATCTCTTTTTACAACAAATAAAATACAGGGCCGTACGATAAGTATCGAGCCTTTGAAAGTGGGAAACCACACTTAGGTTGCACTGCAAGGAAAAGCTAAATTAACCCCAGGTACCGACCAACAAAAATAAAAATTGGACCCCGTGAAATATCGAATACTTATTAAATAGCGCCCTGTATATTCCAAAATATCCTGTTTACAAATCGCCAAACTTTTCTACGCTAAAAACGCAATTAAAATTCAATCCGGTCCATAATACATCGTCCCTCGCACAAAAACGGCACACAATTTTCACACACGCGCACATAAAAATCCCAACAACGATTTCACATTTGATTACATAAGAAATTCGACATTTACAACAAACAAACACGACTGAAAAAAATGCCGAGTAACGGTAAACACGGTCTCGAGGCAATAGGCGATTAGAGTCACGACTATTGTTAAGCTCGGGCGTTATTTTTTGCTCCTCCTCGTGAGCTTTTAAATCAAACGAGCGAACGAAAAGACCAACCCATACGCAAATCAACTTACATCGACTTGATCTTCATTTTTTTTTGTGCGGTACGGAAAAAAAATCGAAGACGGGAGTGCTCCAACCACACCGACTTGCGTTTCACTAGGATCTTGGATTAACCCAAACCTATATTTATAAATTCTTGTTCTTGCATTTTCCCTTCACTTTACAGTCGGCCATCGAGAGTGAAGAAACGCGGGCACATATGCGAAGAAAGTGGTATTCAATTGGGTTACTGCAACCGGCGCGAATTAAACCTCACCAACGAATTTTATTTCGGCAATATTTGCGTGCATCTTTTGGTTAATAGCATTTAATTTGCGTAGGAAAGAAAAGGACGCGAAATAGGACACTTTTGATTAGAATACACACACTTCAAATTTACATTTTTTAAAAGGAGAATAATAATTCCAAGGAATTCTGAATTTAACAAAAAAACTTAATTTTTGAAGCATATTTTTAACATTTTATCGACGTATTTAAATCTCTATACAGGATCACTTTCAAATCTTAATAGATTTAGAGATTGCTTAAAGATCACATCTATTTAACGAATTTCGATAGATAATACATTCACTACAGGTGTCTATGTTTGTCCAACAAATAAAATATGCAAATCACGAAAACTAGACCGTTTATTTGGAATAAAGTAGTTAAATTATCGAAAGTAGTGTTTACAACATACTTTTTTTATCGGCAATGACAGTCACGCAAGAATATACCGAATTATTGATTTCTTTCTAAAGGTTTAACAATACTTAATTACCAATAATTGATTTGATGCCTGACTGAAAAACACTTTAAACCAGTTCTACACTATTTTTTATATTAAATTAAGTACATTCCTTTTTTTTGAAATATTTTAAATAATATACACATATTAATACTGATAGTACCACGTTAATTTTATCAAATACATAAAAACTACAAAGTAATAAGTGTTAAATGAAATCACTGAAGCACTTACAGGGTGTTTGTGCGTGATAAAAGTGAAAATGTTTGAGTTTTAGTGGCGATAATGTGTAAAATCTCTATAATCGGGAGGTATTGTCAAAGTTGAGTTGAGATAAACAACAATAAAAGCCCTACAACGTTATTTTTGGTAATTAAGGACAATTAAAGCACTGGTGCCCTAAATGCTTTTTTTTTGTAAAAACATCCTGTAAAAAAGTAAACTCAACAATCTTCTGCCTAATTTTTTAAAATAGTTTTCATTGAAATTATCGAAACAAAAATTTTAATCTGTTATTCTCTGACTGTTTTTTTTTTCAGCAAAGATATAATGAAACTAGCAAACAAAAAATATAGTAACATGCTTTGGTTTTATATAAAAAATAATGATCTTGTGTGTGTTCCGGGTAACCGCACAATTTCAAATTTCAGATGTTATTAACCGGAAATAGTACCTATTCGGATTCTGTTTTCCAGGATTATAAATCGATGCTCGATTTTTCTCAGATTCAATATGGCTGCTTCCTATGATCAACTTCTTAGATTATTTAAACCGACGCAGGAGAAATCCAGAAGTTATGTAAAAAGCATTCTTAGATTATTTTGTTATGCTTACCGAGTTTATTTAAATCTAATTAGTTCATAATTGTTTATCTCAATTTTAGGGCACAGCATTTGTGATAAAAGTATTAGCGTTTCATTTTGGAGTACCCTGTATAACATCATTTATCATTTCCCATATATTATGTGAGTAGATGTTTATGCGGTGCGAAGGCTTTCTTTTATGTTAAACATTCTATTTATTTTCTGAATATATTAAATAATAATTTAAAAAATGAACTAAAACAACAAAATTATACTATGGGGCCTAGCGACAATGAGCCTCTAGAGGTGTTTTAAAAAGCTCAATTTGTCAACGCGACCTAGTAATAGCGTTCTAGATGGATCGGTTTATTCTCTGATGACTTAACGATGTACATTTTTTCAGTTGGTGGTTTGATACATTATTAAATACAAAACATGTTAGTTTAATTGGGTTCACTGCATAGACCTATAACTCAAAGAAGAGTTTTTGCAACTGGTAAAATTAAAAGCACTCCCTATGAAAGTAAGGGCCAATTAAATATTATTGTAAAGCAAGATTGTCAAAAACTATTATTAGGATAACCTTTTGATTTAACGTTTCATGAGTAACATCTATCACACCACAGCAATTTGTTTTAATCAGTCATAAAGACACTGAATGTATTTTTTAAAGCAATATAATCAGAAACAACGCAGTCATACCAAATTTTACTTTCCAAGTAGATTTAGATTTCCGCGAGAGGCGTCATTGGGCAATATCAACATTAAGTCATATATAGGCAACTTTTATATTTTTCTCTCACTCAGTGTTAATCTTTGCTTTGTTACGTTTTCACGATTTTAGACTGAGGTTTTTGTCACTAGCATAATTCTTCTAAACAAAACTAATAGATGTAAAAGTGAGAAGAGGAGCCGAACCATGCTAAACAAACACATACTAGATATAACAGGCATATATCAATAAAGTGCAAAATTGATGTACATTACAAGTAGAAAAATTTAGGTACCTTGGAAAATTGAAAATACGGGAAGTCAAAAAGTTTATGATGATGATGATGAATGAATCAAAAATGTATTGGCAAGAAATATTAGAACAAACAAAAATGCAAGTCTTCAATACCATATATATACACCAGTGCAAACATATGCAAAGAAAAAGAGTCAGCAAAACCAAAGTAATGACAACCAAAGAGTAAAGTATTAACATTGATGTATAGACATATTACAAGTAGAGTACAAAGTAAAAATACGTGGTTAAGAAAAAGTTTATGATGATGATGAATAAATGAAAAATGTATAAGCAAGAAATAGACCAAAAAAAAGGCAAAAACGTAAAATTCGAGCAACTGAAATGAAGTATCTTGGGAGATAAACAAGAAGACAACTTGGATGGTGGAGACACATGCATTGAATGGAACATAGACCGGTAAGACAAATTTATGAAGCAAAAATTTAAAATACCAAAATAGACATGGGAAAAAAGAATAGCTGAAGCTCTACAAAGCAGAAGCAGACTATGGAAAGAAGCAGAGAATCTAGCACAAGATTGAAAAACATGGAAGAGGTTTAAGGCGGACGTTAATACAGATATTTTGAAATCTAGCCCTGTTATGCGTTATGTATTAAATTGCTTTATGGGATACTGAGGGTATAAGGGTATACGTATACATATATGCATATAAAAAATAACAAATTTATTCCTTCTTGTTAAACAACGACATGCAAAACATATTGACAGATAGGTCCCGTAGAAACAAACCCCTATTGTTCCATAAGCACCACTCGCGGTCTCTTTGCACTCCGTCGAATCGGCACTCCAAAAGTAAAGTCCATCTTTTTCGTACTGTCATTCGAACTATTCACACCCGAGTGGCTCAATTTCACCGACTCCAATTGCTTCTCGGACGAATCAACCGCGCCTGCGCTATTTCCACTCAGCTGCGTCACCACTTTGACTAATTTCACTACGCATTCTTGATCTTGGAAATCGATACACTTCTGCGTGTCGCTCTTTTTAAACGGCGTCGATGTGGATTTATTGGCACTTAAATATTTCGTAAAGTCCGTCATATTTTCCTCTTCCCGCTCCTTGCCCGACAAAATGTTCCCGTTAACATTAGCCATATCGACCAAATGCAAAAGGGTGTTGTTTTGTAGCGAGATCACGTCTCCCAAAGTGCCCTCTTCGATATGGATGATGGGCATTTCTTCTATGTTCATTTTAGAAACGGGACTGTTCTTTGCCGATTTGGAACTTTGCTCCAACATGTTTTCGAATGTGGCGAGAGGCGAAGATACGATTCTTTCGTCGTTCTCATTTATCGGCTTCGTTATTTCTTCCTGCTTGGCGTTCTTCTCAATCGCAGATTGTCTTCTCGTTTTAACGGATTTCGATGGTTCTCCGCGACACTCGCTAAGAGGTTCCCCTATTCGGCAACTTCTCACGCTGTTTCGTCTCGTCTTAGGTGTAGTCTCTTCACGGATCTGAGATTTAATACTCCTATTGGATCTGTTGCGTCCTCTCGGTGCTAAAGTTGAGCTTATTATTTCCGGCGACTTCATTTCCACACTGCTAGTCTCTGCAGTCTCTTTCCCCTGTTCCATCTTGTACATAGCTTCGAGCCTGGTCATACTTTTACCTCGGGATACCCTATGTTTCTTAAAAAACAACGCTGCAGGTTTTTCTAGTGAATTTGCTTCACTAGAATCCGGCGTCACTACTTTATTCACAATTGGCGTGTTTGCCAAAACTGTTGGCGTTTCCTTATCGCTCTCGCTTTCCCTTGGAGAATCCAACTCGCATTTTTCCTTTTGACTTTTGTTAGCTTTACTCCTCAAACCTTTTTTGCTTGGTTTTCCTAATCGAATTGTCGGAAAAAGTGACTTTGACTTTGGCGGCGCCTTTTTCTTCGGCGAGAGGCAGCCTCTCGGTTTCTTATTTTTAATGTTCTGCTCTTTGTTTTCACGTTTTAGGCTCGGCTTGTAAATACCCTGAGCAACTTCGTTCACGATTTGCTTAATCAGGGTGGCGTGATCCTGTTGATTGGGTTTGGTGTGATCTTCAAGCGATTTGCTTTGTTCTGCGATGGAATCGGAACTGAGTTCCAACTGCTCCAAAAGATCGTTATATTGTGAGATGCTCAGACTTTGCCTGAAAACAAAAGTTAGCAATTAACATTCTCGGATTATTCATTAATTACGAATGCAAATATCTCAAATTTGTATAAAAACTACACACAACAATATACACGAAACTTCAGTGTTACAGTTCAGACCATTGTGTCAGCAACTTCTAATTATTTTCAATTTTCATCAAATCATCATTCTCCCGTTGTAAAAAAAATTGGCCATTTAATTCTCAGCATAAATCTTATCTAAACATAGATTAAAAAAAAAGAATTTATTGTAGTTTTCACAACGTGGGTTGATATTGACTGATTGTGCAGTTAGCAGTTTTTGTTCACTCAATAAAGGAAATAAAAAAATTACGTGACGTACGCCACTTTGTGAAAAATAGAAAAGAAACTAATAATATTTACTGAAACAATTAATAATTTAATCAACAACTTATAGTAGCAAAGTGTTAATTTATATTATTATTATTATTATATTTATTATATATTATTATATGACTAATCCGTTCAGTTCTTGTAAAACATTGGGAATGTGCTTTAGGACGTTTGTTGAAACTATGTCATTTAAATTATTAAATAAATCAATCAAAAGTTATTAAGAAAATACGTTTTCATTGGTATGTGCTAAGTTTTAATGTTGATAACCAAAATTTTAGAGCAATTAGTGCCAATTAATGTTCGGACTGGTCAATTGACAAGTCAACTGACCGTCAATTCACGACTTACTAATTGAGTAGTCAAATTTTGATCAAAATGTTTTAGATAACAATTGTAGAGTGTTTTATACATTATTTAATAATAATATGTATTTTATAATAAATTATTATGTGTTTGTGATGTAGAATTTACCTATATAACCATCTTCAAGCAATACCCGAATTCCATACTTAGCGATCCGAGGAAACCCAATAAAAATATCCACTCCATTTAGTTCTCAGAACAACGCGATGACGATGTAAAGCACAATATAAATAAATATAATTTCATTGCAATTTAAAAATTGCACAAAAAAAATTGACCGCCAATTCCACAATGCTATGTACACTCCACAAATATAACATATATAGTCCAATCAAAAATACATTATACTCAATGAGGTGTTACCTATCTTCAGATTTCTCGCCGATCTCTTTAGTGATATCCACATTGGTTTGTACCACCCCTTCGGATGTTTTTGTACTATCAATTTCATCCATCTCTACATTCCAAATTTGCTTTTCAGGGTCTTGCTGAGCACCATTAGTATCTATTAAATTATCCATAGTTTCTATCTTCTTTGAGTTGTCTCCTAGTTCTTGAAGAGCCACGTTTATAGTTTGCAAACTGAAAGTTGAGTTTGATCAACTTACAAGTTCCACTGGGCCTGGCTAGCTAGCACTTACTCCCCTTGAGACTCATCTGTGTTTGTTGTACCTTTTTTTCTTTTACTGTTCAAAGTATAGTTTCTACATTTTTTGTCATTAGGTTTTGCATGTTTTTGAGGAATTATGGTATCCTCTTCCGAACTGTCGAGGTTTATATGTGAAACATTTGAACTACTGCCCTCTATATCTTTCTCATTGCTCCTAAAATTATTTATAACTTAAAGCCGCTATAGTTAAACTAAGTAACACAACTTGCCCTTCATTTTTCTCATTTTGGTTGTCAGTTTCAGGACTTTTTAAAAATGGAAGAGAAGAAATTCTTCTCTTTAACTTCATTGCTTTCTTAGTAATTTTTGGATACTTAACAATTTCTTGCATTTTATTAGAATCTTCACATAATAAAGCTTCCTTTGATGCGCCAACATCGAGTTGAATTTGCACTTGTGTTTCAGAAATCATTTCTTTATCTTCCTTTTTCTGGTTCACATAAATTGTTTCCTTTTCCTCTTCTTTTCTTTTGACGCTAAAATAAATAATATATAAAAAATTAAATCCTCTCTAAGCTAGAAAATGTGCTAGTAAGCAGCAAAATTGCTATTTAAAAGCAAATAGAAATGGAAATATTGGAATCTTACTTCATTACTTCATCACCTGGAATATTTGAACATTTAATAGATCTATCATTATCGCCCTGTGCTGACATCTCATTGTCTGAAACTTTGTTCTCATCTTTCTGAAATATAACTCCTGAACATTTGTTTTGATCCGAATCAGATCTAGAGTTAATTGGATCATCTTTGAAAATTTTCTCTTCTGAATAATTATTGTCATCCCTAGAACATAATAATCAATTACTATTACTTGTGTAAAGGTGTGAAGAATTATATAATATACAAATATGACGTGAAAAGATAAGTGGATACTGACTCTTTTACTAAGGTATCCTTCAATTCCCCTTGAAATCTAGAACTGTCAGAAATTTTCCTATTTCTCTGTCCACCACTAAGTTCACTTGTTCTGGGCTCTACTAAATCATTTTCCTTGTCTATGGCTTCCAAGGCTTTTTCACAGCTTATTTGATTCTTTTCATCATTGGCAATTTTTTTCGTCTCACTAAAAATTAGGAAATTTATTTAAAAGGGCAACAACTAACCATTCCTTACCTTGATAAATGTATATCAGAAATAATTACAATTTTTTTTCGTTCTGTCTTTTCAGCAACTCTAGTAACTGATGTAGAATCATCAGTGACGTCCAGCTCTAACTGCTCTAAAAGTGTTTTTCTCTTTTGCTCTAAGGATATGATGTCCTCAGAATTTGTTGTGTCATTACCAATTCCTTCCTCAATTTTACTGCAATCTTGCAATATTTTCCCATTCGGACTCTCAATTTTATTTCGAGTTTCAAAATCTGTTTTGTTCTGCTGTTTTTTTGATTTTTTTTCTTTTCTATTGTGTACTGGGCCAGTGGGTTTTGTAACACTGTTGCATTCAGTTTTGTTCCTTTTTTCATCTCTGTCTTTATATTTAATCTCTTTGTCTCTGGATTGTGATTTTACCATATTTTCCTTAACCACATTAAAGTCTTCCCTTAATTTATGAGAATCTTGAGAGATTAGTAGTTCAGTGGTGTTATCACAATAATCATGTTTATTTCCAAAAACTTTGCCATTGCAATTTTTTTCTTTTCTTTTGTCAGCCGAATCAGATCTACCTTTGTGGCATCTTGTTGACTCTGAACTTTTCCTTTTGCAGAAAGATGTACCTGTCTTATCAGTGCTTTTAGTCTTGTATTTTTTGTCCCTCCTTTTCTCTACTGCTTTCGAGGTTGACATTTTCTCTTTGGTATATTCATTTTCTTCTGCAAAATCTTCCTCAATCACTTCAAAATCTTGCAATATGAGGAGATCTAGGTCATTATTGTCTTCGTTCTGGTGAGTATCATGCTTCTCTAAAGTTGAAGTATCAGAAGTAATTGTATTTTGCTGTTTATTCTTTTTTGGTGAATTGTCCTTATCTTTTTTAATTAATGTTGATTCCTTTTTGGAACTGTTACTTGAGCTGGATCTAGATTTTTTAGGATCGACTTTTTTTTTACCTATTTTTTCATATTCAATTTCCCTGTCCCTCCCTCGTGATATTGATCTTGATGTTTTATTTTTACTTGTAGTCTTACATATGTCAATTGTGTCTCTATGTGAGTCAATTCTAGATTTCCTATTGAACTTCTTATCATCCTTAGATCTTGACAATTTGTCCTCGGGTTTAAAACTTTTTTGTTCAAGAAAATGTGAATGAATATCTCTAATTTTTTCACTTTGCCTTTCTGTCTGTTTTTTATCATGGTAACTTTTGCATTTTACATTCAAATCTTTAGAGTTGAATCTTGATACATCATTCTTATAATCTAATGCTTTTTCTCTTTTCTCTTTCTCCTCTTCACTCTCCCTTGATTTGGATATTGACTTACACCAGTTTTTCAACTCTTCCTTTTCTTCACGTACCTTTTTAAAGATTTCTGAATTTTGCAGCAGCGCCACACTACTTTTGTCATCAGCTTTCTGCATATCTTTATTTTTTTCTATATTTTTTGATCTATAACGATAAGCTGATATTGCAGTATCATATTCTGTTTCTACAGGTTTGTCATCCTTAATTTTTTTCTTGTATTCTTGGATTTCTTGGACTTTATTTTTTAATTTCAACTTATCCTGCCTCTCAGATTTAAAAGTTTTATTCTCATCATCTAGCAATCTACCAGAGTGTGGTAGGGGTACTGGTATAAGTGTCTCCTGTCTCTGTTTACCATCTCGACTTTTGGAACGAGGTTTAAACCCATATTTATTGTAATAGGAATCACTGTTACTGGGAGTCGGCCGTTGGCTTTGAAATGTTGTGCTGCAACTTCTCTTATAATCTTTATTGTAACAATTAGTATCTGTAGATTTAGGTCTTTTGCAATCATAATCACGATGAGGTGAACTACTGCGCTGCCGCTTAAATTTACCTAAACAAACAAAAACAAAATTTTGTTTGAATTAGGTCACAAAGTTCCTTCAAATACTAAACTAAATTTTTAACATACCTACCTGCATCATTTGGCATAAATCTTATATTTCGTTTAAGGATTAAATCATCTAATTTTCGTGTGAGCTCGTTAATTGTATCATGCTTTCTATAGAGCTCCACCTTGGCCGTTTTATACAGCTCTGATATACGAGTACGCAGCAGTTCATTTTCTGATCTCAATTGGTCTATTGTCACTCCATCTGTTTGAACTGCTTCATTTAAGTTGGAGTCATTCTAAAATTCCAAAAATTAAAACGACAAAATGTTAAGCAATTTTTATTACTTCCTTGTGGTGCTCATCTTCTCTACTGTATATAACGTCTTCCAAATCGTCGTAGATATAATCAAGAATAGCCGATTCCTTAATAAGTTCCGCCATTTTTTGAATTTATAATATTATAACAAAAAAAATTGCAAAACACATATTCCACAATAAAAAATTCTTAAGCAAACGATTTCAAATGAAAATACCACAGACTAATATAGTTCTTCTTCTTCTTTTTCTTTTTTTGGGGTTGGCGTTGCTACTTGGCAATTTGCCAGCACTATTTAGAACTGCCCCAGATAACGGAGACTGTTCTCCTGGGAAAGTTTACTTTTCAGATTTCTGTTCTATTTAAGAGGCATATAAAGCTACTGAGGAGTAGTCCGTTAGTAGGCAGGCTCAGAGCACACAAAAATTACAGACAAACAGGCAAGACTGTCACATCTAAAAATACAAAAAAAAAAGGATTAACTATTTCCAACACTATGGATCAAGGGACTAATATAGTTGTTTCCTGTGGAAAATAACCATCTTCTTTTTCATATCTATTCGGCAAAATAGGCAGGCTCGTTCGGCCCAATTAGGCAAAAAACTTGTTTCTCTTCTTATTTTAGAATATATGTAAAAATAAAGTGGTTTATTTTACTGGAATCATTCGCGCATTACCGAGACTTCTTGTTTTTGGCGGATGCGCTAGTTATAGTTTCGCAGAACTTTAAAAACAGCCGAAGGAGAAATTCAAGTCTATTTCATTGAATAGTGACTCACGCTAAAATATTCGAACTTTGCCATTGCTTGTAGAGAAACGATAATTTAGATCTTTAATTGAATTTTGAGTCCACGTAAACATAATTTTTGCCAAATCAAATCAAATCAATCGAATCCAATGTAAAATATGTGGCAGTTACTTGGACGTGCCCGTTCTTCACTCAAATTTTAACGTCAGTGGTGCAACGAAGAAGAAATTAAAATGTTAACTAGAGAATTGTTTCGATTGACGTTATTAATGGACAAAGGCTAGAAAAAAAAAGTATTCTACTAGAAATCAAAAACATTTTAAATTAACTTGCCTGCTGGTAGTTATAAATGGGTATGTATAAATTATAAGTTACTATGTAGATGGTGGCGGCAGTTCCAAAACCTAAATCAATAACCAACGTTTAAGGAAGAACTAAAATAAAGCGTCTTGGTTTTAAACTTGTATTACAATGATTTAGTTTAAGCGCAATTTTTTTTTGGTAATCAGCGTGCGGTGTGGATGAGTTGCCACGCCACTGTGCTGCGCACCAACTTGCAGCGCAACCAGACCAACGACACGGCATACCTGGTTTGATTGTTTTTGAGACTTTAGGCCGACGCGATTAAGCGCTGGCACACCTTGCGAATGCGGTCGTGAAAATTTGTGCGCGTTTTTCCGGTGACAAATCGCGAAAAAGTTTCGTTAAAGTGTTCTAAACTTACAAAGGGATGTGCATAGTTCGTTGTCATACAATTCTTAGGTGTAAATTACTGGATTACTCAATGTTTTTCTGATGCTTGCTGCCAACTTGTTCGCAACACGAGATAAACAACAGGTAACTTTTGTTTTGGAGATTTGTATATATTCCATGTGCTTTCCTGCTTTCCGCGAAGCAATATTAAACATTTGTTTGAGGAATTTTATCTCAGTGTGAAGTTTGAAGAAGTTTTTCAAGTAATAGGTACTTTAGAAGTGAATAACAGGTAAAAGCCGTAGTTACACGGTGCTAGCAGCTAGTCCACGCGGCCTTTTAAATGTCCGCTTTAGGTCAAAACAAGGAACGCGTACAGTTTGTTGACTTAAAAGTTTATAATGCGACACACGAGAGGTTAGGTCTGACGACGCGTGTAACTTTGTTGGACATCCTATTGAATAAAGAATTGCTCGACCTAAGAATAATAATTACCTTTTTCTTGTTAGGTTGGGCTCGACGTGAATAATTATGAGTTAGTCCGTGACAATTCTATTTACTTGGAAGTGAAATTCCTCAATATTTATGTGCGTACTTATTTCACGCGAATTTAAATACACAAACCGGTATTTCACCTACTTCTACTTTGAGTTGGTTGTGGTAAACTAGTGTTAGTTAAAATTTGTTAAAATATGAATTTTGTTTTTATAGAACTCCACAACAACCGTGGTGAATACCTATCGAGGCTAGTACTTGCACCTGAACATTGGTATTCATTTATGAAAATTATTCATGAAATACGAAATCTTTTGAGCAATACCGAGGTGGATAGCTTAATTTTTAGTAATGATTATTTGGATTTATTTCTAAATCGAAATGTTTACATCCAAATGACCTTGAAGCGCTTGTCCGATAAAGAAATAAGTCCATGTTGACTGCGGATTGTACCTAATTTCAGTAATTTTGAAGTTTGTAACATCTTCGATATATCTTTAAGATCAAGTAGGTTTAGGTTCTGATATCACTTCAAGTTTGAGGATTACGAAATTATTTAGTTTATTCTCCGGGGTGACAAATTTTTATAATTTGTGTTTTAAATTATTCATTATTGATGCCCATCTGATGTCTGTCAAAAATTGTAGATGTATTTAAAGTCTTTAAATACTTCAAAAAGTAACCAGCAGAACTGTAAGAAACTGTTTAATCAACGCAGGTCTTCATGGAAGAACTAAAAATGCGCTTCTCTCGTAGAAGAATAGAAAGGCCCGAATGGAGTTTGCTTTAGTCAATAGAAAAATGGAATGGAATTGTAGTGATGAAAACAAATTTTCTCTGTTTCTAATAATAGACAATATGTAAGAAGACAGGTTAGCATAGAATTCAAGGCGAAGTACCAAACTGCAACAGAGCAATGAATGAAAAATAGCCAGATCTAAACCTCAATGAACATCTTTGTATTCGAATTTTTAGTATTTTTAGTATTATTAAATCAGAGTCATTGTCAATTATTGTAAAAACTACAAAAAAAGGTTGATTCTATGCCAAAATACTAAAAATAATAAACCATATTTTTGTAAAATATTTTACCACACAAGAGTACAAGTTTCCATGCTTATGTCCAGCTTTTATTTGAAATTTCTTTTAAATTAAACGATATAAATACCATTTTAAAAAACAATATAATTATGTTCACCAACAGACTTAATAGCAGATGCATGAAAAAAGCGCGGTACAGGTGTTTATGGATTTGTAAACACCAACGTAAACATTTAAGGTAAAGAGATCAAAGCTTCACTCTGTTTTTACAGATATATCTCGGGTTAATGTGTCTGGTATTCAAGAATGCCTGTAGATGATACACCGCGTACGACATTCCTTTAGGGTGATTCACGTCGTTAAAGCGAATTTCTCTGAACCCCACAAATTTTTTCCGCACTATTGAGAGCTCAGTTATTGGAAAAAATAAAAAGTCCGTTAAATACGGGCCAAGTGTAAAGCGCTTTGAAAAGCAAAAGCGCTGCACAAAAATTTGAAGCCAAGACCGCGGCTATAATGTTGAGTTTTGAATGTGAAGTGAAAAACAAAAAAAAAAAGGTAAACATTTAACTCTATAAAAAAAAATTCATCTGTGGTAAATGTCTTCTTTAAGCTGTTATTTAAGCTATTTTCAAAATTGTAGGAGGTAATTGAATATACACAAAATTTCTTGCAACGTTGACTTCTTTATAAGAGTTTCAATTTAAAAAAAAAATGTCTTTAAGTTCTTAAAACTTTATACTATAAAAAGCTGTGAATGAACACGACAAATTTATTATGTTATTAGTTGAATATTATTTGTATTTCGTTGATATCTTTGTTTAGGTTTAGAGTCTCCGTGAAACCTTATGAATTTCTCTAAATCTATCGATTTCGTGTAAAACTCGCCATTAATGCACACAGTGCAACTCCATTCTTAGTAAAGATGTTTGCCCGTCGGTTTATTCTCTGCTTTAAATTTTTGCTGCAAGGACGGAATAAATCACGTGCTGGACACGCAAAGGTATCTGCATACCTCATGATTGACACAGCTTTATAATGATATCTGCTCGCTAATATTAATAACTTCTAACGAACGTACAAGGCTATTATTCAATTATTGATTCCTTACGTGTATAGGTACTTATGTGCAGCAAAGTGATGAGTTACTGAGTTCGTTGGTAGTTATACCGAATTATACGGCGGCTTAGACTCGTACGCGGAGTTGTAAGTTTTCCAAAACCATTTTTGAATATTCCTATAAGCATAGAAAACGTTTGTTTTTTTTAACTGATTCCTTGACTAATACTAGTAATGCTTGGTGTTTCACGCTTACAACAATTTTTTTTTCAAATTCAGCATCTGAGCGCCATCTTTATTCGAGCAGCATAACTAAGTAGTTTAAACTGTCCCGCTAGGAGCCATGTCGATTGAGGGCGTGCGTAACACAACTCGTTTATCAAACTCTCGCGCCGCTCGTGTCAAATAATCTCGTCAGTCAAATGCTATTTGCCGCACTTGTTGCATAACATACTTGTTTATTTTTCCATTTTCTCCAATAGTTCCATTAACATTGACATAAAAGCAAATTTAACTCTTATAGAAAATATAAGCATCCCACGTCATGTCTGGCGTCTCCGATGCTACGGTTGAAAAATATGTTTAATAATTAAACACATTTTTATTTATATCTCAAACGGGAAAAAATATTGCCATGCCGTTTCCACTACTTTCTGTGTTTTTTTACTCTCTTTCATCTTAGCAAAAATATTTATACCATTATATTTAAAATTTTCGAGAAAATCACACATATACCAATTAATATCGTCAGAGCGTCAAGCTCTTATAAATACTCTTTAAAACCAAACTAGGTTCGTCGAAATCTGATTAGCCAAAAAAAAGTTATTCAACTTTTTTTACATCAATATTCGACCCTTCCCCCACTCTTAATTTGACTAGATAGAAAAAATAGTACAAACAAAACAGTTTTCTTATCTATATACAATTACTTTAAAGCTAATTTTGATATAGGTTTAAATTTTTTGCAGATATTTTATGATTCTGAAAATCATTTCCAGCTTTTTGTTTTGACCGATTTACCTATAAATACTTTTTTTTCTAAGTTGTAAGACAAACGGTTCCTAAGATATGGACGGCGTCCTTTATTAATGGACCACCGGCCCATATCAAAATTTTTTCGCGGTTTACCCCTTCGTCAGATTTTTCCCAGTTTTTGTTCGTCGCGGATGTTTGAAACTGTCCTTCGCAGAATATACTCTCCGATACTGTAATTAAACAAAGTTTTTATTTGGAAAATGACCGTGAGACACCCGACATACGTCTTGAAGTTCGCTTGAAGTTTTAGGCTTAAAGATAATCATAAATAATTAAGATTCGTTCATTGTGCTCTGGGTGGTTTAACTTAATTACCGGGCGGTTCTGGAAAT